GCTGAAAAAAAAAATCTAACCTGTGAAGCCTTCCTCCTGGGTCTCCTCACTTCTTCATCTCCGCTACTCGCATCTTCAGTAGGCTTGTTATTTGCTCCCTTTCCACCGACGGACTTCTGCTGCCTACCCTCGGCTTGGGGAGCTGTCCGAGACACAGGTTCTGTTTTCCCAAACCCAATACCAGTTTTACTTTTCGCCACTGAGTCCCTTTGGTGCCGCTTGTCGCGTTTGACTAGTTTATCAGCACGCATGAACCTCGAGAGATGAACGATGGATCCAGAGGAAATAATCAATTGAATTGAGTCCAGGTGACCTTAAAAAGCGCGAGTTTGCACCAAGCCTCTTGCTTCCGCTTCCAATGTGTCCTTGTCATTCCCAAGGCGTGAGCCTCTAAGCCGCTACACCATCTCATCTCGAAGTGGTTCTTTCACCAACGAGCTAGGACTCCATGGCCACACCCCTTTTCCTGTGTTTCCGCCCCAGTGTTTTCAGAGGGGCTACCCTTCTTGCCGCGCAAAGTCGGCCTTCCCACTCATCCCTGTCCATGAGGTCCTTCTCGAGCTGGACCGTGGCATGCCTCTATTCCGCCCTTTGGCGTGAGTCCATTTCCAACCCTCTATTCTAGGTAAATCCGTCCATAAGCCCATCATGTATCGCTCACGCCCTCGCTCGCTCTACTTTCATACTTCCAACAGCAGACATGTCGGTACTACACGTGTCCAAGTGTGCGGTATTTCCGGATCTTCCCGAGTAATACATAACAGGTACTTCAGTGGACCGAATGAATCTCGGCCAGGAACTCGGAGAAATGACAGTTAGCAAACTCGAAGGCGTTCGAAGCCCCTCGTTTAAGCCAGCCAAGTCATGAATCATGGGTAACTCCCGTAATAGCAGGCCTGTATGTCCCTTTGCTGGCATTTTGGCGGCCGTTTATGGTCCAAAGCCCCCTGCTAGCGTTGCAACAGTGAGTTAGAGTTTCTATATCCCTAAATGCATGATGTATACCTTTTCTGTGGTATATTGGGACGTTCTCTCCATGATAGTAGGAGCTGGAACATATGGCCAGATTCAAACAAAGGCCCGGCTGATTTCATTCTTGGGACTTTCCCCCTATTCTTCCTCAAGTCACTGTTCAACTTTAACGTCGCTTCCTCCTGATAGATACTCGATTAGCCGCAAATGGACACAAGCAAGTCAGGGGATGAAGGAGCTGAATTCTATCCCATTCACTATGAATCCTTCGAGATGTTCATCTATGTACCAAAAGCAGTCATCCGGAACTCATTGAATTCGGGGCCCAGTGTGTGGGCACAGGCTGAGGAGGCAGCTCGAATAGCCAGTGCCTCGGGTATTTGTGTTTCCATTGTCTATTTGCATATCAAGTCAAAATCCCCCTTGCGATTATAGCATTCGCTTAAAAAAACATACCTTTACTCGCTTCCCAGACGCTGGATGCGTGCTCAAAATGTCTACATCGCCTACTGAGCCCCTCGAGATCAATGACCAGAACCACCCCTTTGACTCCTTTTTCTCTTCCGCCTCCATTCGTCCCCACAATCTGTGCAACAATGTGTGTCAAAAAATCTTGGGGGATGATGAAGAGTATGGGTGGAAATCTTGCCTTGTTGCCTCAGCCGGATCGAAGCATGCTTTCGACATGAGTTTCAAGCCGATTGAGTCAGCTATTTGAAAGAAAGACTCCAGCCTGAGTCCAGCTGTGTCTGTAAGATCGTGAATAACAAACAAATGTACCTTCGGCTTCCTGGGTCCTTGAATTCGGAAGACTACGGGGTCTCAGAAAGCTTCAAGGAAATTCACCAACCTTGACGTACGTTAGTAGGAGTGTTAACCCAATTCGAGAAACCCCGACGTCCAAGCCCAACAACTCAAGTAGTGTTACTAGGAAGAAAATGACTTTCGTAGAAGACATTCGTTCTCCTGAATGTCGAGCAACTGGAGTCGGGGTGAAGTGGGTACTAGAGTAAGCAGCAACGCCTCGTTACCTTGATGTGCGATTTCTTCGGACAAACCATGATCAGATATTCCGGTTCTACTTGTGCAAAAAATTTGTTCTCTCACCATGACCTAAGACTGACGCCAGACCATCTTCATTCTTGCATGACGGAAGGATTCCAGTAAAAACAAAAATCTTTCCCCCTGAGAAGTGAGCCTTATCAACAATAGAGGCTGAACCACAATAGGAGCTCCCCACATACCAGGTAAGACGAACGCATTCCGAGTATCATCATCAATTACATACACTTCCCATTCGTCATTCGAAACGGGAGATGACAACCGATCGCCGTCAGGCCTCCACACATCATCTACTAGGTCCGTAGAGGAAGATAAGGTATTATGTCCTTTAACATGGCCGAGACTCGTCGCCTCCAAAATGCGTTCAGCCACATTCACAACATATTTTGTCAGAGGGTGGTGCGAGGGAAGGATGTGGCCTTTGTATTGGTGTATTATCTGTTGGAAAGTCTCCTCCCCCGCCTACACACAATGTTGGAAGAAGACCTAATGAGAAGATATGGAGAAAGAAACCACACTTGTCTTTCTGAGTCTACAGAGACGTCTATAAATCGTAATCTTCCGGTTTCCGGCACTCTTTCTAGGTGATACACGAAGTATACCACTTGAATTCCAACCTCATAGGTGAGGCCCCAAACCAGAATGACACCAAGAACGAGTCTAACCTGCTCCACCAATGACGACGGCACCTACTCTCACCATTGTGGGATCGAAGGGATCAAGAAGCCCCCTCTGTGACGGACCACTGCTGCCAAAACGCGTATATGTCGACCTCTCATAGACACTTCTAAAATGGAACGCTCGAGCCGGAGTAGGGTCGGGAGAGGGCCGGCAAGTCCATTCCGCGGCTCGCCGACGAAATGCAGCAAACGGCGGCACAAAGTGGGCCAAGGGTCGGGGAGAAAAACGCAACGGTTTTAGTAAGTTCATGTAGCTGAAGCCTGAGAGCGCTTGCCACAGTCTCTGTTCCCACGATCCTGGATAATCACGGGGCTTCTCGATTGAATCATGTACATTTGTCGGCAAGGAATGCTGCGAAAGTTACATTCAAAATTCCCAAAGCAACTTCGCTTGCCCAGCGAAGTTGCGGATAAACTTCGGAAGACGACTCGGATAGCCACTCGCGATGTATCACGAGACAGGCATGGAGCTTTCGTCTGTGTTGGTCCCATCCGCTTGCGACAGACTCAATCGAAGCATCGTGGCTGAAAATGACTTTCGTTGCTGCAATTCGGGGTTGTGTAAATGTTGGCATGACGCTCCAATGTGCTCGGACTTTTGGCTCCGTGATGAGGCCCATTTGGAAGCAGCGGCAACGTGCCACTAGAGACTAGAGGGGCACCCAACAATGACTCCGAGCCAATGCGAGGTTACAGGACCCCCACCGATTTTATTGTTATCATTAAAAATCAATTCGACAATTTTTTCAATTAGCATTTTGATTGACGCGGTGAACAAGCGCTTAAGTTATATACTTAAAAGTCAGGCTCCCTCAGAATCGTAGTACGACGAATCTGCGGCATTTGAGGAACAGTCCCAATCACTTGAATGGTGTGAACCCATTGTCGCGAGATTGGCTTGGCGTGCGCAGCGTGTCCTACCCTTGAGCCAAGTATGACCAACCCCGCTGTGTTCATCCCTATGCATAACTCGTAAAAATTCTTCGACAATGGGCATTGCTTTCATCGTCAGGTCATGGTGGGTCATTCCTCGCATCCAAATCCCTCGGTCCTTCCCCACCTGCTGAAGGACCAATTCTCCAGCTTCCACCAAAGACCGGCCAATGCTTTCGAAGCGCGCTTGTAAATCTGCGATCTGGAGAGAGTTAGATGTCGGCGTTTATTTGATGGAGTTATTCATCTTAAACTCACTTCTTCCTCATCCGATCCTTCGTTGAGCCAAAGGTCTATGGGTTGCTCATTGTCAGGGAGGCGCCCAACCTCTGCATTGTCTATGCCTGTTCGGGTCTGGAAAGGAGTCCAAATGGTCATTATAGGTCAAGTATACTAGACAAAATGAATATAACCTTCTTACTGATGTGACTCAGTGGATCGAGTTCTGCGGATGAGTGGGTGCGCTTCAGGTTCATGAATTGACTGAGCGCCAATCTTGTCGTTTCACGGTCTTGATCATCGCCGTCTGAGGTATTCCCTGTGCCGTGGTCTTGGTTTCCAAGATGAGAATGCCGATATAAAGGCATAGTGCGCCTACGGTGAATTTCTTCCCAGAATGCCATAGGTGGCTTCTTAGAATAGTGCACCAAGTGCTTACAAAGATGAAAAGTATGTGTATCTTGTGTCCCACATCGGCAGGTCCAGCTGAGAACATCCGTGTGATAGTCACGACTGCTGAGCTGCTTTTTTGACAAATCATTCCATGCAGTCTTGAAGGCACGTTGCCAGCTGGTAAGAGCACGGCTCCGTCCAATTCGATAATCGGGTTCTAGCACATTAGATGAATAAATGTAGGAATTTATTGTCGAGTATGTGATAATGAATACTGTCTGGTCAAGAGGGGAGCGAGTTTTGAACCGAAGATATCCGTGCTTGAGACGTTTCCAATGATTTTCGGTGATCATTGTTGTGCGCACACGTGAAAGACGAGTCCCACTGGATGAGCGTGCCCAGAGATCCCAACAAGAGTACCAAGAGTTCCACAAGTATGCCCAAACCTCGGCAAGGCCACGTTCACGGCAGAATGTATACATTTGATATACAGAGGCACGTTGGATTTCTTCCTTGGTTTGAAATGAGCCAGAAGTCATTGGGAAGAAGGGATGTCGGCACAGATGATGAATGAATAACCTGAGAATCTGACGGCGATGAGCCTCCGGACAAAACACATAGTTGGGGTCCATCATGCGCTTTTCCCCTACATCCAACTGATATGAAGGGGCATCATCATGCTCACTTTCTTCAGCATCCCCATTAAACTCATTACTTTCGTCTTCCTCCCCTTCTCGATCAACACGTGCCATATTCTGGAGAACCGGGAGCGCCTTCTCAAACTCGTCCAACAAGAACCCATCCTCACCCTCTGACTCGACTCCTTGACCCTCAGCACACTTATCCGTTGCCTCATTCTGATCTGGTCCAGGAGTGTTCAGTATTTGTATACAAGTTTGCACCGAAATAGTAAAACTCACTTCTCAACAGCTGCACATCTTGATTTCCTGGCACCACCACCATCCTTTTTATTTTGAGTGTTAGAGATGGTTTAGGAGGCACCTTGCGCCCAATCAGTGAGTCTCCGAGGCGAATTCTGAGTATGGGAATAGTTTCTTGTGCAACTTTTATTTGATCTGCACGCTCACGCTACAATAGTAAGTCCTCAACAATCTATCCATATACCGGCTAGAGAGTCTGATACTCACATCTATATTTGAGAGTCCATGCCTCTGTCCAATAGGCATGAACCATTGGTCAATAAACTCGAACTGACTCCGTGCTTGGACTATGGAATATGGGGCAGGTGCACGCTTTCGAATAGCAAGTCGTTTTCTCAATGCGCGAAGTACATGCCAATAACATAGCTGATAATCAGCATTGGGCCAAACTGAACGGAGGGCATTGATTTCTGAGAGGTCCTTGTCTGAAAGCGTGAAGTGTGGCCAAATATCACACTCTTCCCGAAAATACTTGAACCATTCGATTAGGACATCTCGCTTTGCATGTAGTGGTGGGTTCTTTCGCTTTGGACGGACAAATAGCCACCCTAGAGGTAACCCAGATCCACTTACTTCGCCCATTAGGACAAAGAGCTCCCAGTCCCCACCGGCACACTTCCCTGCCAGTATGTGAATTTTATTGACGCCATTCATTCAAGTGATCTACTCACAACTTGAGTCAGTCAGAACCTCCCTAATGCGTGAGCCCCATTTCCAAATAATATGAGGGACCGCAAACGCAAGTGCTTCATAATTATCTTGGCCCTTGATCGGTATGATTGATGCTCGCGGCCACCCTGAGGCAACTTCCTCCTCTGCAGCACGCTGGAGTACTTTCTGTGCCGATGTGACTGGATCATCATCAAGATGCCACTTGTGCTGGTCAGCTAATTTCCATATAGCAAAAGCCGACTTTCTTGTGAACTGGATCGGATGGTAGTTTGCGAGGATCTTTGTCCATATCTGTATGTACAAATTAGTCCCTTGGCCAATAAAAACTAAACTGTTATTTGCACTAACATCTTCAAAAGTTTGGGAATCATCGGCCTCGATCATTTTTCGTACACTGGTTGGGACTTCTACCCACTCATATGGGATATGGTTTAGTTTGTGGACAATCCGGATACTGGCATAAGCATTTGCATCAATATCCTCGATACTAATAGTGAGCCACCCTTGGCAGGCAAAGGTGTCCATTCGTCGGGTGTCACGCTGTTTTTCGGGATCTTCATGCTTTCGGTGGATTTTCTGGGTGGATGCAAGTTGCGCACAGTGGAACTTATACTGGTGCTGGTTCCCACTGAACCCTTGTCTGCCCTTATGAACATGATAACTAGCAATTGGTGAGTCGTCTATTTAGCCTAGTGTTATAGCCCAGCTCACCACCACCGATATAAAGTTTTCTCAGATATTGTGCCGGCAAGATACTTTGCATACAAGCAAAAATAAGATTCTCTATCATTTGCACTTGGGTCCTCCACAAGCGTTGGTGATGTGGGTTGTTCTGGGATGGGGGAAAAATCCTTTGGAGGCAGTAAGATGTCTCCCTGGATTATGGTTTCGGGTGGGCAGTCATGGCGGAAAACCTCGGCACCATCAGCTAGAGCAAGCGTGTTTAAGAATTGAGAGAGTGGGATGACCCCATTCAGGAACTTGGACACCCGCTCTTGTTGCCGTCCTCTTTTCTTGTGGGAGGACTTGTGTGCATTGCAGTGGCGGCAATTTTTTTGTAGTTCAGCAGTATGTGGAATGTAGTTGAAATTGTCGATGGTTTTGGTTTCCTTGCATATACCGCAAGTTTTCACCTCTTGCACCGTGGACATGGGAGGAGGTTGTGAAAAGGAGTTAAAGTTTAGTTCTCCGGACTTAGTTACATTTTTGGAATATTAGTGATGATATTATAAACAAATAAACGTGTCAGGAGGTCCTCTGAAAAATTCCATCACATGTGCATGCTAGTTGCCGGGAGTCAATTTTGGGTGCCCCTCTTGGTCAGAGTGCAACGTGCCCAGCCTTCGTCTTGAGGGAGAGGATTAGGCCGTATAGGGCAACTTATCCCGTTCCTCTTTTTAATCCATGTAGTAGGAATCCCCTTCGCCAGTATTTTCAATGCTGTGCTGAGCGCAGACACACGACTGGAAGACATGACCCGATGCCACCCAGATGCAAAATAAGCCATCCTGCTGAGATTAAAGGCGTTCTTCGGTGACAGTCAATATTTGGTCCCGCGTTCAGCGGGGGAACAAGCTGGCTGCTGCCCAAGCGGCCTGTGACCTTCGGAAAGCCTGGGCGTCGGGCAACTTTCACCGGACAGCCTTGCTCACAACTCCAAGGGCTCCCGTCTGCTGTCGGACCATCTGGCGCTTGGGTGAACACTTTATTGCGCAATTCTAACAATTCTAACGAGCCGTCGCTTTAAGACGCCGTGCGACTGGTAAGGTAAGCTCGAGGGGCTTGAACAGGCTGCTATCCTATAGT